TGAAGGAAGTTATGAATTTCCGGTCAAACACACACAGACATTCACACACACACACACATACACCAACAGACAAACTTAGCGGATTATATATAGTAGGATTTTGTAGTCTTCTTACATCCGGTTCCTCTGCAGCTTTCCGTCCGCTCCATCAAATACAGCGATGACACTTTGTGCTGTTTGATGCTCACCGACCCTGCGTTTACGACCACTCCCCCTCCAAAGCGGACAAGTACGACCCTCCCTGGGTTCCAAGACTGTGCCCTAGTGCAACTTGTCTTCAAAAATGGCACTCAAAAGGGCAAGGAGCCAGTCAGTTATACCCAAAAACCACATCGGGTTCGGGGATGCAGTTGAGGGTCACGAACATTGCAACATAACGCTTCTCAGGCTAATTCTGTCACAACAATTATGCCAATCTTTGAATGTCTCTTCTGTTAGCACAACTGGCCTCAACAGGACCGTTCTGAGGGACCGGTACACCGTCAATAACTGACAAGGTCTGGCTGTTCACCTGTTTTGCTAGTTCGTCTAACTCTGGTGGGACGTACAGGGTCACAAGTTAGTCGCTGGGGCAATCAACCAAGCATTTACAGACACTGTCCGCGATAAGCAAGGTGTCCAAACTCATTCGAGTAGGTAACTTGCTCCACTCCCAGCACGAAAGCGCACTTTTGGCGGCCCCAAAGCGCGTAAGACGCAGACTGCGAACTTATCCCCTAGGCCCACAAGGCCGTGCCGGCACAAGTTTCTTGCACTTGGTCTTGACCATATTATGCTTGTCCAAATATCGTGATCAATTGCAAAAAAAGAGGACCTTGATGAGGTTGTTTCGGTTTCGTCCCCGGTAGTATATCAGCCAGCACTGACACCTAAATCCCACTGCCAACGAACTGCAATCGCACAATATGCTCTCAAAAAGCCAATGCCCAAATTTAGTCTCACGCTGAGCCCACAAACGATCATTGCATCACTAAAATTATAGTCTAGAATGGCAGTTTCAGCTTATTCTCAGAAGGCCCTATGTATATAGTTGCCTATTTGGACGTTCAATTGTATCTATGAGTATATTTGGAAGGCATGTAGCGCAGAAACCGTCGTGTGGGTGCATTGCAGCGTTATAAAAAAACCAGTGCAAAGTAAGGATGTACACCATTTCTTCGTATTTCCTATTCACCAAACCGTAACCTCCCGCAGTATTATGGGATCTCCTTCCACGTTTAGCATTCCTTAAGCGTCTTGTCTTCATAAGCACAGTTTGGTACAGCTCCGAGGGTCAAAGAAAACATGCCCACGCATAACACACTGCATAAAGTAAATTCACAAACACAACGAACATTTCGACGAGCGACGGCGGCGGCCAAATCTTCTTCAAGTTTGGTGACGAGAACCGCTTGGTCGGCGATTTGGTGCCGAAGTTGCGTCAATTCGACGTCATTCTTCGCCAATTGCTCTGAAACAGACCAAACACATCACAGTAGTCATCTTGACACCAATAAAACCCCATCCATTCACACACTGGCATGCTCATGCTCATCACCTCACACTCGCTCTTTTGAAGTCGTGCAGCTCTTTTAATGGAACACTGGAAAGCACACAAACACAGAAAGGTCCACTTATCATCTTTTGAACGCAAAGGAAAAAATATTTATGAAGGGAAATAGCAAAGAGAAAACAGAATGAGATCGCGTACAACTCTCTTACAATTACCACGAAAGAGACTTAGTGAACGCACGAGAATGTGAGATTTCGACTAGAACACACCTGTACACCGAGATCATGATTGTGATGGACCAAAAATAGGAAAAATAAACAAAAAACACCCAAGAAATCGCCGGGAAGAAACAACGCAAAATAGGAGAATAAATGGACTTGACTAAAGCATTGACTACTTGGGTAACACGAGGTATTTATACAATATATAGATGAAAGGAAAACTTTCTATTAATTAGTAAGCCGGGCTTATCAATTTCGCCACGCCACCATGGGCCACCTATCAGATTGGCTCAATAGCAAGCGTGATATGGGCAGGGCCAAATTTCAAATCTGAAATCCAAGAGATAACCAGGCGAACTATCAATCGGACATAACACTAAGAAATGATTAACAGGTTTCCTTTGTGGGACGTCATTCGGGAATGGCAATCAAAAATTCAGAAAAAATTAAAAAATTATCATAGGAGTGGCGCTACAATCCGAATAAGAGTACATGAAGAATGTGGTTAAGACGAAACAACAAGAATCATCATTTAATTCGATCAGATCGGATGCCCCAGTACTTGGTAAGCTTTAAGCTGGCTACCTCAGCATGGGAAAATCAACAATTTGGGTGGGGCGAGACTCCGCGACTGCAGGTTTCGCCCCGCCCACTGAGCTACTAGAATCTATAGTGTTAGTTCTGAGTCGGGGCATGGGAAATAACGCTGTTGTGCTCTCCTCTGTCCTTTTCACACAGTCTCTTCAGCCCAGATGCTTAGCTGTAGCAACCAAGCAGACGGATCCATACACTTAATATACACACGAATGATAAAATTCCTAATATGGTATAAATGATAATTGCAGTGACTAGGACCAAATGTGAATGAAAACAGAGTAAGTGATGGAAATCACTGTATGATCTTCGACATTCTGCCCGTTAGTTGAGTTTTTCAAGAGATTCACTCAGTAAGAATCGTGTAGCGAGAAAGAATACATGATTAGAATAAATAAACTACCATTCGGCACCTTTGTAATGAGAAAAGACTGGAAAGAATCAGACTGCAGGCCTATGAACTCTTTGAGGCGGCCAACATTCGCATTTTGGCCACCGCTCGATCCAATTGGCTGGCCTTTTCACTGCGATCCTCGGAGGGGAAGAGCGGGGAGGACGAGTTCGTAGCGGGCGGGTGATCGTCAGACGTCGACACCACCAGGGACGAATTTGCCGACCGTTCGGTTGTGAAAAGTGGAGTCGCCGGAACGGGCACCATCGTTGGAGGAGCGTCATCGAGAAGAGCGTACCGGGAGGCATTCTCAAGGATTGCATGCAGGTCCTGAAACGATTATTCATATGAAATTGTTTGTCTGTTACTAAGCAGTAACCCATCTGAATCTCATGCTGTGTATAAACTCTATAAGGAAACGGCCAAGGCAGCAACCACTCACAAATAAACCTTTGAAAAATTTGCAGTGAACTATCAAAACTGGCGAAGACCGCGATTCGTTGGACAAAGCGACGAAGCCAGGTTTGTAAAGGCCAAATCTGTTTATTTACAGAACGCCTCTAACCATAAGTTCCTATGATATGACCCGCAACCTGCATAACAAGCTAGATAAAGGACAAATAATTGAAGCCGATACCTGCTGCCAATTCTTGCTGGTGGGAATCGATCCCACTGCAGGAGGATAAACTTTTCCTTCTTTCAAACTTGCTTTCTGCCTTGTTCGATGATTATGAAACCAATTGTTCACCGTTCGAATATTCAAATTCAGCTTCAGTGATAACTGGAAGTAAAAACTCAAATAAATCTACTGATGGGGAAGGAAAAACCTTAAAGTTAGTGCCTACCAGCTCAACAGTCTTTTGACTTGGGTGATGTTCATGCTGGAAAACGAATCGAAGAGCCTCCTTTTGCTGTTCCGTTATTATCGTGCGCTTAAACTAATTACTTTGTTACTTTACATGGAAAACAAAGGGTCAATCTAAGTAGAGCAAGAACCTGCACTTTCCGAGGTGGCGGTTCATAGGGCGGTTCAGGCAGGCGCTTGCCATTCCCATTTACAAGGTTCCTTTCCAGCGGAAGTCCGGCCTCAATCTTCAAAGAACCAGAGATGGAAATACTCCTGAGAAAAAAAAACAGCACTGACATACCCGTTCCTTCACCAGAAGCCTCTGGACGGCTTCCTTGTCGGCCAGCCATGTTCTCATCTTTTCGAAAGGCTCGCGCCCTCGGGCGGAAAGTGTTGACCATCGCCTTGGACGCAAAAAGAGCTCTGAACATCCGCCCGCGGAAATCCCAAGCACTGCTTCACCAAACAGCTAAATAAAGTGTAATTCGGGGATTTCTTCAATATGTTAAAGTGATAGCGGCAAATGAGTCGAAGAGATCTGCTTACAATCCTATCCGGATACGGACGCTCACTACAACTCTGTCCTTTCTATCTGCTAAACGATAAATAATGCTGGAGGTTCACTTTGAATGTACCGCTGGAATGATAGCGCTGTGATTTTGTTCAAAGCGTCTTTCAGCGGATACGGAAGATATACAGGGGGGGGGAGGGCAAAAAAAGTCATTCCTGCCGAGTCACATATGAGCGAAGTTTTCGCAGCCCAGACAGAGGAAGTGGATATGAGTACCAGGGCGGAAGATGCCCAAGATCTTCCTCTATAAGCAGGAGCCGGCTGCCGCCATTCACCTACATGTACACCAAAATATGAAGTCATCTCCAGTCGCGGCCTGAGTGGAGAACGCCTTTGGAATTCACGTGGCCTCCTAACAGCTGCGGAACTTCTTGAATGGAATCACCCATGGATAGCTGGAGACCAGTACTCTTGATCTGCAAGAGCAAACATCGAGCAGCTCCGCCAACGTCGCTACGGTCAAGGACATCATCTCCACCCCATTCACCAAGGCGCGGGTTGATGGTGTGGACCGGCCGTACCTGGAATGGATGAACCGATATTTTCTTCGCGGGCCCCAGACTGAGGGTGTCCGCTGGTGGCTACATCGAGCAACTCGAGGAGAATATCCCATCTTCATGTCGTCGCCCGTACCTTCTTGGAAACTTTGTACTGCTACAGGATGGGGTGACAACACATTTAATCGAAGGGCGTTGGAAAAACTTTCGCCTACTTGGAATGGAAGAACGCTGAGTACCTGGAAAAGATGGAGTAAGATGGAGTATTTAAGCGGGGGTCCTGAACTAACCGCTCAATTACTCGGTTTGGGCGGAGCTCAATAGGGTGGTCTACAGTGGCGGAGAAATCAACGATATCGCTCAACTCCGGTACTCACTCACTTTCGCGCGGCCGAATCTCTCGATGGCACTCCTGCAGAAGGCTGCGGCGGAGTATCATTATAGTATTTAATGTGCTCTTCAATATGGTAGTAAAAATGTCCGATAAAAATCTAATAAAGTGTAACTTATAGCGCCTTGAAAGTCATAATGGCAATGACTTCCCCCCCCCCCTGTATAAGTGATAGTCCGAAAGCGCGCTTGATAGCAAAGATATTTTCAAGAAGTTTCTCTGACCCACCACAATTCCTTTGTAAGCATCAAAAAAAACTGACTCTTTGTGAAATTCCATGTAAGTGAAGGCGATCTTTGACTTTTCGTACGAGAAGAGCGGTGTCGACATCTTCGACGTCGGCTCCAGATTCGGGCGCATCGTCTGGCGTGCCGGTGCTCATCGTGTCGAATTCGGAGCGCGGCAAAACGATCACTTCCTCCTCATCTTCGATGATTTCACGCTTAACTTTGATTGGTGGCGACATATCAGTTTCATTGAAGAGATCCTTGTCTTTGGTGATCATCACGTCTGAAATAACAGCTGTATCATAATCAGATACAACACAACTTCCCATTCCTGCTGAAAGCAAAACAGTTGACCTAAACTCACCGGCAGTGCCCTCCGTCTGTACTTTATCAAGCTCTTTTTGCGCAAGATCCTTAGTGGCCGACTGGGACACCTCACGCATGAACAGTTTCATTCGTATAAATGGTTCTCGGCCTTTCTGGGTCAACATACTCCACTGCTTCGGACGAGCCAACAAGTCCGACACCGATCCCTGAAATTTTGCCAATAATGCGCATTCACCGACACGAAAATTCAGAGTGTTTCATGTTTCTTTAGTCTTTAACCACGACTTTCAGCACCTCTACGATACGGGAATCACTGAACTTTGGCACGCAACGTGCAGGTACAGCCGCGGAAAGAAATACCTGGGACAACCCAAAAAATCGTACCGAAATATTGTGGATACAGGTACAGTATGCCTGGAAGAACTATTCTCGAACCAGTGAAAACGACCCTGGGCAAACATAAAAGTACGTGAGATCTAGGTTCCGGCACCCAGGGTCACGCAAGAAGGCAAAATGACCGAATAAAGGCCTTCATCTCGACCCCATAAGGCATTTTTGAGAAAACCTGAGCATGAGTCAAAGAAAAAACGACCATCAAAACGAGTGAAGTGTTCCTGCATTTCAGGGGATTCGGAGTTGAATGTCCGAGGATACCCCTGAAGCTTCCGTGGAGTCGAGTCCACAGATAGCGGCTCTAACCAAGTCCAGTAGTAAGTCAACAAAATTCAGAGCACTGAATTGTTTTTTTTTGTTGAATTTTCGCTATCTGCTTACTTTTACACTGTTTTCCTGTTGAATAAGAGCTTCAGAACTGTGCGAACCGATTTTTCTTGACTGGCTAAGGCTGCGTTTATACTTTGCGGCAGCGTAGCGTAGCGCTTCCAGCGTACGCCAGCGGCAGTGCCGAAGAGAGGATGCATATCGATCTAGCTTCACCAGCGTCACCAGCAGGGGAGTAGAGACTATGGGAGAGCTGGAGGGTACAAAGCACATCGATTGCGCGTCTCTCACTCGCTCTTAGTCTCTACAATGCACATCGCTTCTGCGTCTCCGACGGCCACATAGTCTCTACAATGCACATCGCTTCTGCGTCTCCGACGGCCACATGGTCTCTGCAATACACGTCGATTCCGCGTCTCCCACGGCCACATAGTCTCTACTCCCTGGCCCTGCAAGCGGCTAGCAAAACGCTGGTTGTCGCTGGAGAAACGCTCGAGAAACGCTGGTGAAGCTAGATCGATAGCTATGCTTCCGCGTGCCTCGCTACGCCAGCGTGCCGCTGGTGACGCTGGGTGAAGCTAGATCGATATGCATCCTCCCTTCGCACTGCCGCTGGCGTACGCTGGAAGCGCTACGCTACGCTGCCGCAAAGTATAAACGCAGCCTAAATGTTTTTTTCGCAGCTACATATGTGCTGTTGTACTGGTACTCGACGCGATGGATAACTATTGAAATAGGCATACTGTTCCTGTGCGGACGATAACTTAGGACTATTTAGGGTGTCCACAAAGTTCTTTGGCCATTTGTAACACAGCGTCGCGTTAAGCAACGCGTTGTGATTTTGCATAGAGATTTCGCACAACTGAAAGTACTCGCGATGGGCTATCTTCTGAGCTAGCTAGCTCTAAATTTCCTTTCTTCCCACAATAAAGCAGTGAAGATGAGTGATAGTCACCACCACCGCCGATGTTTGCTGGACTACTACAACCTGGGCATCTCCAGACGTCAGGCCACGACCAGGATGCGTCAGCAGTTTGGTGATAACACCCGTTCTAAGAACTGGATGTCAAAATGGTGGACTCTCTTCACCAATGAAAACTATGGCATCGAAATATGCCGAGGTTTCTGGTTCTCTCGCCACGGCGTCGTTCCACGTAAGCATTCCTACCCAACAATGCCACAGTGACGGCAGAGACCCTCTCTAAAGAATGAGGTCAAGGTGAAAGCTGCCGCCTTGTCCCAGAAACCTGCAAATCCGTGGTTGCTCTGAGACAACGCGCGCCCCCACAAAGCGAGAGATACTCAGGCCGTCCTGGACAGGCTGGGCATCAAGACGATCACGCATCCACCGTATAGCCCGGACATTAGTCCATGCGATTACCACATCTTCCGGTCCATGCAAAATTTCTTGGACAGAAAACAGCTGAAGAACGAGCGCGACCTCGAGGACGTGATCGAGGACTGGGCCGAGTTGCGGCCGGCCGGCTTTTGGGAGGATGGAGTTGCCTCTCTACCCGATCGTTGGCGAAAGGTAGTGGCTATGCATGGAGATTACATCATGGACCGGTAAGTTCAACTTGGTGAGATATCTTTACCAGCTCTGAAAAAACGAATGGCCAACGAACTTTGTGGACACCCTAATACTTAAAGTACTAGGAGTAGTCAAATGGTTTCCAAACTGTAGGAATTTGATGAAAATTTACCTGACTTAAGCCAAGGACGTGCTCTCCAAATTGTCGCTGGGAAATGGAATTCATCGATAAGAACTCCTTGATCTATAAAAACCTAATTCGGACAAATATTAAGAAAAAAAAACTGTAAAGATACCTGCTTGACAACATCATCCGTATCGATGTGCCCAAACATCTCGAACTGCTCTTGGGTAATCGGCGACAGTCCGACGCGCATTCGAGTACTCATTACCTAAAACTGAAATATCAATGCCATACATATCACTGACACGCGGAGACTCAGCCGTGAATTATCACTTTGTGCGCTGTCCCCCAAAGCCTCGATAAAACCATCCACAATTCAGAGACGGGGATGTGGATGAAAAGAGTGAGAAAAGGGGCGAGGGCAGGGTCATTAAAGAGCGCCTCCCACCATGATGTCAAAAAAAATTTAACCTATCAGCTAAGTTAAGGAAACTTTCCGAAGGACCAAAACGGGCTTACCTGATGGGCATGACTGATAGAGGCCATTCTTTCGTTGTGCGACATTTCATGATAGGATGGGGATGTGTCTTCCAACTGAATAATGAACATTACTATTTCCACAACATTTTTTTTTGCTCGAAGCGCTTGTTCTCAAAGAAACACGAAAATCCTAACCCGTCTGTGGCCGTTCCCGAATGATCTTGTCGCTATGGCCCGTTCCAGAGTGGATTCCTAAACGAAACCCGTCAGACTATTGCACTAATAAGTGGGAGACCACCAGAAGTAAGCCCATGGCCAACCCACTTGTTCCCTCAACTTCGCCAGTTCTGTCTGGAAAATGCTCATGATTTTCTCCTTGGGGATGTCGTCATGGCGCCAGCGGCTGTTTCGCGTCGTTGAGCCCGCGTTGGCAGCCTGGTTCGTGCCGGCAAGACGATACTAAAAAGAAACGTCTCAATCCAATCTTGAACCAATGAGTCATTCGATTCCTCAAAAGTAAGAGGATATTCTTCTCTCATGCTTACTTCGCCTTGGTCCGTTACTACGGTCGCAAATATTCCATTACTTATATGAGTTACCACAACATTAGTTCGGCTATTCCCCTAATGTAACACTTTCAAAATAAATTCCACAAGTAACGTACCTGGTCCTCTCGAGCGCTTGCTGCCCGTTTGAACGAGTTCTCGTCAGGTTCATCCGGTGGAACCATGCCGCTGTTACCTTCCCATAAGGATTCCGGTGTAGGATGCTCAATACGAACTTCTAAAAAACCAAGAAGAATTATTTATACTACAAAATTCGAATGTGATTCATTAGTGACTCGGGAAATAAAAAGTCAGGAAAATGCACTAAGGCTCACCACTGGGCCAAACACGACGCGGACTCAACGAGCACAGTAAATCGACCGCTTCAGCGTCCGAAATCCAGCCGTATATTCGTCGAAAGGCTTCGCGTCCTTTGTCGGTGAGTTTGCTCCAGTGTCTGGGCTTCGATAGCAACTCGCTCAGAGACCCTTGCGACTGAAATTTCAACCCTTGTCGAAAATAGCCCGGATAAGCAGTCATGCAGACAAAGCAAGCTAAGTAATAGCCGCTCAACTAGTTAGTTCATATTTCGCGAGTCAGGTCCCCGTTGGTACCGAGGTGATCCCCACACTGATAATCTCATCAATTCGCATTATCTTTGCATCTTCTTGAGAGCTTTACCGACTCCCCCCCCCCACATTCTTGTTATCAGTGGCGCAATTCAGCTATTTTTGTAATACTGATGTTGTTGTGGTTGATAGAGGGGACTCTCTTGTTCAACGGACTTTTGCTTAGGAGGAGGAGGGATACAGGGTGCTCCCAGCGACGAGGCCTCCCTTGCTAGCCACACTTCTTGCTACTATTTCTAATTCCAGTAATTTTCGGCTCTCTTCCATTGACTCCTCCCATGTTATGAACGCTCCTTCTCGCTGCGTGTCACACAGTCCCTTTGGGTTCTGTACCTTGCCATTTGTGCCTATTTCTAGTTCTCTTTCACCTTCTCTTCGTCGGTAGTGTTCACACCCAAGGTCATGTTTTGGGTAGTTTGAGCTATTGCTAATGCTTTTACATCGCCTTTATGTCTACATCACAACATGGAACGGCTCATAAACAAGCAGAAAGCGCTTCACCTTGACTACCTGGTTCATGACGTATTTCGCAAACAGGCGCTGTCCGATGTTGTAGGCGACCATGAGGCGTTTGCACTGCCTCGCGATCTCCGCTGTGTTCAGAGCGCGTGATCCGAGGGCACGTACATTTCCTGCCACCCGTGCCTGAAAGTGAGCAGGAGAGGTGAAATCTTAGATGCGGATTTGTTAGGGGTTGAATTCAGAGAGAAACTAGCCTGAAGATCTTGGATGGCTTTCAGCTCTTGTGGAGTTTTTGCCGGTTCCCCTGTGTAGTTCGTGAGCTTCGGTGAATAGCGGAAGTGTTCGAAGGGAATCTCCGTAGATGGCGAGCGAGTGTTGTTCCCTCGTGAAGTAGCAGAGCCATTTTCAGCGCGAGAACCACCAGCTGGCACGGAACCCATATTCTGTAACCCTTTGTGATTACGATGGAAACAAATTCAGATTATGACAGCAAATGATGCACAAAAAAGTTCACCATAAGGATTTTGAAGAGGTTCTGTCGATCATCCGGGTCTGATTTGGCACGTTCAGGCTCCTTATTGTCAGGTTTGGGTAGGTGTCGAATCTCAAAAGACAATGTGATCTTCAAAAATCTGCTTTACAATTCGTTTCAGAATTTGTTTGAAGAACCTATCAAAAGCAGGGAATCTACTTACATGGTCAGCGTTCGCATCCACATATCCCTCGGCTACCTCTCGCCCAACTCGGGTCGACACCACTTCAACAACAGCCTGATGGCTCCCAGCTAGGATTGCCTGCATAATCTCATCGCCTGAAACTTTTCCCATGGCTACGACAAGCCCTTCAAAACTTACTTCCGAAGAAATCACGCTCGCCACATAACGCATACATGTATAACAAGAGAAAAATACCACAACAATCAATACACATAAAAACAACAACACTATAGCTGTACAACAATGAGACCACAAGGAAAGACATATGGTACTTTGAAAAATATGTCGAAATTCGGTCATAGTAAATAGGTTTGTAGAGCTGCACGATTTCACTTTTGTCCACACACACATACATACTACATACATACACACACATACACACACATACTTACTCAACTGTCACTATGCACGGCACCTTCAGATGGCGATGGTCGCCTCTGTGCGTGCACCATCCGTTGCTCACCTTGGTAGAGCTCATTTGCCTGTCGCAACTGCGCGTTGTCATTCTGAAGGCGGCGGTTTTTGGCAGCTAACAGTTTGTCGAGCGATTGAACGGTTTCACCAAGACGCGCGATCGAATCCTCGTTGGCAGTTGCCGCCTCGCCAAATTCGATTTCTCGAAGTAACCTAGAAAATACTCAAAATCGAACATTTAGAGGCTCTAAATGAGGGATTCCGACGAACCTCAACTCCTTCTTGATCGCTTCGTAATCGCTCTGATCAGCTAGCAGAGCCTCGAATTGTTTCATTTGATGAGCTCGCTTCTCGAGCTCAACTGCCATCTCATCGCATTGAGTGCGAGCCTTTTTCGCCTCCACCGCCGCCGCTTCAACCAGGCGCTGGTTCTCCTCGGTGAGACGGGCAATCTGAACAGTTCTACTTTGCTAAAGCGCTGCAAACAAAAGGACTGTTAGCCAAAAAGGACTATGGTTCGCATGGCGATGGCGATACTAGAAATAGAGATGGCGATACTAGAAAATAAACCCACCAGCTCGTCCTTTTCCTTCATGAGACCACCTAATGCGGCGATGTCCTCCAATCCTCCACGCTGCGATGAAGCACGGGCTTCGGCTAACTCTTCTGCCATTCGGCCTAATTCCGCTTCCAAATGAGCCTAAATAATATAGTCTCGAGAAGATTCTCCCCCACTGTAGGAAAAATTGGAATGAATGGAAAATTACTCACCACTCGTCTGTTAGCATCGTTCAGATCTCTAGTCAATATATCAATCTGTTCGTTCTCCAGAGCCTCCTTTCGGTCAGCCGCCACACGAGCGACATCCAGCCGTCTTTGAGCATCTCTCATTAGTGCTTCAAGTTCACTCACCTCAAAATTCATCAAGTTCTCGACATGTTATCATACAGTCCTCATGCGAAAGAATTAGGGGACTGGAGGCGTTTGGCGTCTGGCTACAAATAGGTGTCAGGAACCGCCCACACAACGAGTCTCTCACATTGGTAATTATTTTCAAGCTTTTTTTTCAGTCGGAACTTTGTCGTGTGTGTAATAGAGTAGAGCAGAGATTCTGCGAAAGCGAACCTCTGCTCTGCCCTATTGCAGGGAAGTATTCTATCGAGGAATTCACACAGAAGGTAAAATCAACCTCCCCAATTTGGTTGATTTTACCTTCTGTGTTCCTTCCCCTCCTTGAACACTTTTGTTCGCAAACTTTGGTACTTTGGCCGCTCGCAAACTTTGGTACTTTGGCCGCACCATCCACCACGCTCACAGTTTGAGCGGAGTACTGGCGAATGAGCTAACCAGGAAAGGTCAACAGGTCGCCATGACCATTCAAGATGGGATATATGCCGTGTGCGTCTCGGGGGACTGAACTCAAACCTGGTTTTAGAATTTGCAGAACGATTCTCTAGGAGGAGTTAGGGGGGAGGGTCGTTCTAGCATAGCACTCGCCAATCCTCCTTTGCGCAGCTCAAGTCGCCGATGGTATAGTGGATAGGTAAGTTGCTTCACGGATGGGAGGTCATGGTCACTCTTTGACATGTTCGCATTTTTGCGTTTTTCGGGACATCTTCTGCGAGTTCAAAAAAATACTTTTATCCGTTTTTTTGTCAAGCTTACTCTTACTTGCAGCAGGAATAGACTTGGAGGCCGGCAACTGTGCTACGCTTTCAAGACTTTTGGGCAGTGTTAACCCTTTACTGCCCAAATCACCCGTAATCAGGCCAGTTTTTGACCGAATTTTTTCTTCGTAAGGAACTGGCCGAAAAGTTCCCTACTAGGGTAGTCTGAAATTCTGATCATGATTATCACATCCGCTCGGCACGAAACATCCGTGCCACAGTCGCCAGCGCCAAAATACCCTAAATAACAAAGTTCGCTAAAAACTTAATTGGGTAATTGACCTCCTGAACACAAATATCTCATCCGTATTTTCTGAAACGGCTGACGCATACGCCACAAGCGACCAATCACATGCTTGTTCCGACTCTGGGGGTGTAGCACAAACTCCAGCCGCTTTAGTGCGAGGCTCTGTGCTAGGGCAATTGGGCAAACTGGCCGAAGCAAAGCACCACTCTTCCTGGTTGCCTATCATATCAGCCATCAGCCATAGCAGGGAAAGAACCTCAGGAGGGGTACAGACGAGATTGCGCAATCACATTACCCCTTTCTTTCTCTATCCCAAACATTCTCAACGCCCCCACGGATGTGATGTTTGTGTTTAGAAGGTCAAACTGCTCCAGTTGAAAAGCTTAGTGATTGTGGTGATTTCGAGTATTTTGGCGCCGGCGCCAGGCATTTCCGGGCACAGCTAATGGGATGTTTGTGTCCAGGAGGTCAAACTATCCGTTTCCAGTGAACTTCGTGATTTAGGGTATTTTGGCGCTGGCGCCTGTGGCACGGATGTTTCGTGCCGAGCGGATGCGATAATCATGATGAGAAGGGCAGACTACCCTAGTAGGGTACTTTTCGGCCAATTCTGCTAACGAAGAAAAGGTTAGCTACAAACTGGCCTGATTACGGGTGATTTGGGCAGTAAAGGGTAAACACTGCCCAAAAGTCTTGAAAGCGAAGCACAACTGTCGGCACTCAAGTCTTTTTCTGCTGCAAGTAAGAGCAAGCTTGACAAAATAACGGATAGGAGTATTCTCTGAACTCGCAGAAGATGTTCCGAAAAAACGCAAAAGTGCGAACTTGTCAAGGAACCGAACCCATGACCTCCCATATATATGAAGCAACTTACCTATCCACTACACCATCGGTCACCTGAAATTGTCGCTACTCGAACTCGACTTGAGCTACGCAAAGGAGGATTGCCGAGTGCTATGCTAGAATGACCCTCCCCCCCCTAACTCCTCCTAGAGAATCGTTCCGCAAATTCTGAAACCAGATTGAGTTTAGTGCCCCGAGACGCACACGGTAATATGCATCCCATCTTGAATGCCATGGCAATCTGTTGACCTTGCTGGTACGTAGACTTTGTCATTCAGAAGAACTGAACCTCACTTTCTTTTCCAAAGCAGCATTTTCAGCTTTGAGTTTGTCGGAGCGCATTGTCGTCTCGTGATCGCGTATGGAGAACTCGTCCCGCAGTTCCCTTTCGATCACGTCAATTGCTTTTTCCACTTCTTTAGTATTTTCTTCTTCCAGTTGCTTTATAGTATCTCGAAGTTGACGGATTGTGACATCTGTAAGATCGTCTATTGAAACGCGCACACTTTCGGAACAAGTTCGTCAAAAAAAGGTCATATTATGCTCAATAAAAGTTTCTGAGGTAAAAGCTCCCATCTGCCAACACATCTTCTTGGAAGTGAATAGAACGGTACGTGAACAAGGCGAGCAAAGAAATGCTAAATAGTCGGCATGGCACAAAATAGTAAATCCACAATAGATAGCGCCACGCGATAAGTGTACTGTCCGAGTGAGTAGAATCGATACAACCACAGTAAGAACAGAGCTCTACAGTGGATGAGCGCTCCGAGGAGAGGAAAAATCTAAGATTAGAGGATCTTAATGAACAGTAGTAGAGTACTAACACCAAGAATGGCACTACTTCACAGCGAGTGAGATGCTGTGAACCGTACAATGCAAAGTAATGCAAAATGGGCGAGAGTTCTCTTGGGCCATAGCATTACGGCTCAAGAAAACTCTCGCAGGTGAAAGGAAGCTGGACAGTGTTGCGAGGACTGGGGCATGGCGCTAACGGTAGGGCCATGACGGTCAGGGCAACGTTACTTGGGCAGTAACTCTCGCCTGCGGCGCACGAGGGACTCTATGGCAGATCGTGAGCAGGCACGGAAACGTGGGTGGACGGCGACATGGCACGCGTGGCAAGAGAGCCACTATCAGGTGGGAGCATGTCATCCACGGCTGGAAGAATTTCCTCCACCGAGAGCGCGGCATGCCAGGCAATTTAGGAGATCATTTGATGATTGGCAGAGAGGCACAATCTTTTCCGAAAATATGCTAGACAGAACACAGTCACAGAGGATTCAGTAATTTTAACGTTCGAAGCAGCCCATGCTTCTTGAACGCATATAATGACAGTCCAGCGCAGATGTTTTTTGATGGCAGCGGTCTCGCCGGCCCCTAGCAATTCATCGTAAAGTTTCTCATTCGCATGCGTCAGGCCACTCGCCCAATTCTCCCTTGACAGGTCACTTGGCCTATAACTCCACATATGAGTTTCAATACCTACTTCCGGCTATCGTGCCTTAGGAAATGTTCACTAGATGAAAGCCTGACGAGCAGGGTCTCAGGGTAATGTTGGATGGACGCGGATATTGTATGACGGCGAAGACGCTCCTTCGTGTACGTGAGCAAGACGAACAGCTCGACCGATTTAGGCATGCTGGGGCATGGCGTAACGATCAGCTGAACCGTAACAAGGCAATATTGAGCAGACGAAGTATGCAGTTTGAGTACTGTAATGCGGTGGAACACTTGAAAGATGATCCTGTCTGTGAGAATTATTAACCATCACATGACTAAAAACAACGTCCACTACTATCCGATGTGTAGAAGCCCTTCTGCACAAGGTGGCGCCAACACAGAGCATGTACCACTTTCGCGAATGGAATGTGCTTGATAAAAGGCCACCGCTCAGCAACAATGAACTAGCTTCGCCTTGAGCTGAGCCCACCTTCTTCATTTCGTTTTACCATCGCCCACATAACGTTGGGGTCTCGATCACCTGTAAAATCCATAGGCTTACCATCGTCTGCTTTTCTTTTCTACACCCAGTTTGTCAGATCAGAACTAACACGGCCCTTAGCTAGGGCAGTTTCCACGGCTGATTTGCTTCTTTCCTCACTAGAATCCCAATTAGCTGATCTAATGGTTTGCAGGCTCGCACACTGCGAATGGCGATCACGGACGCTCTATTTAACGTCAACAGTCTGATGTGTGCTTGCTCGACTTCGACTATGGGCAAAGCCATTATGTAGCGATGTAAAATGAGATAAAATGGTACTCGATGTATAAGCGATAAACATCAATTTCTTCACGAATGTGGGGGGAAAAGCATTTGATTTTAATGTGTCGCATGATAGAAGCTAGTCAGTACGATAACAGACCCTGGTTCTTCAAATCAGCCAATTCGGAATGGACTTGGGCCACTTGAGCTCGCAGATGATTTGCTTCCTCAACGGCTATATTCGTCTTTTCCGCTTGCGATTTCCACACAATCGCCTGTTCAATAATCGGCGTCGGATCTGGAAATGGACAGATCTCAGCGAATTATCTGGATCATCCCTTTCTACGAAATAGAAGATTGTTATAAAAGCGAGCAAATGTGATTTATCTTAGCTTTTTGCCAATTTCATATTTCTGCAGTGTCAGTAGTTTTGTTTTGAATGACCGGGCCACCAAAAACTCTAGCATATTCCAGTTACGGACTCATGAAGCTAATGATTTGATATTGTTCAGAGCGAAAGTCCTAACAATCCACATCATCGAAGTTAAGAACCATGAGTGAGGGAGACAATTTTGCTTTACAGACTTTGGCCAATAAAAATAACAAGACTATACATATTGAAACCCGCGCCACACGTCAGACAAGGACCACCAGCCTTAGGAAGAGCTCACTGGGACGGTTCTTGCCATGTGCGAGAAGAACGAATCAGCAGCAGTACAGGTGTACACCTTGATACTTGAAAGGGCGCCGAAGTGAGCGTGAACGGTAGCACTATCCGGTTGCCCTTTCGCACTACACCTGCGCTATCCTCAAGGTGCAGAGCTGCGTTGAAACCAATATGCCGCAAAAAAAACACCCAGTCAGAGGTAGAGAACAACCAGAAATGCGAGACGAGAAGTTCATGGGGCTATGGTAAGGCGTGAGGCTGGATGGGCGGCAGCGCGGCCGCAACGCAACGACACAGGTATCGCTTCCCTCCCACACTGTTCCCATGCACTTTTGAACGAAAAAGTGGTATGTTACCATAGCTGATCTATTCACCTCCCGAATAATAAGAACCAGGATCGAAAAAGAAGAGTGTATGGTTTTTCTTCGAGGAGGGACATCGCCCTGACCCATCGAACAACTGCTGACCTACCCTGAGTCGAATCCAACCTCTAAAACGACAGAGAGCTGGGACAGCGCTTTAATGATCTTCCCCATTTAGAAAGTGAGATGTCACTGTGCCACCAGAGCCAATCAGCTGCTACATATCCCTTCTTCTACAAGTCCGACTGAAATGGCAAAGGAGGGCATTTCCCCTGATTCCAGCGCGTCTCCTTTCCTCGTAGTTTCTAACTCATTTCTACAACCATGTTACAGATATGACAAATAGCTTGAGAATTTTGCTAATTTTTTAAGGAAAAGCGCAGTGCAAGCAACTTCACCCCAAATCGTCGAGGCAGTGAATGCACAAGTGCCCGTAAGGTTAGCAGCGACCGACTTTCAGTTGCATATTGGTGGTGGTCTCACGAAGGAGTCATCATTTAAAATCTCCAGAATTCATTTCAAACGGTGACTGTTCTTTAAAAGAAGCATTCAGTAGCTCTCTTTAGGGACTAAACATTCAATCGCTTGCTACCGTGGGAACTACAGTCTCGCCACAGAAATCAACATACTCAAAACGTTTTTTCGGTCCTGTATTCATGATCAAATGATGATTCAAGGCGTTCATCTCGTAGGCAACACCATCACGCGGCCCCAGTATATCGAAGCACCATCGGCTCAACCTCATCGATTCGGATGGTGGATTCGCAGCCGGCCTGCCTTGTATCGATTTGGCATCGATCGCAGCTGGCTTGTGCCGATTCTGAAGCGAAATCAGCTTCTCGCACACCACGAGCAGTAGCTCCTCTTCCACTCCAAAGCTAAATCGAACAGCGCTCCCTCTGATCGATCTGCACCCGAAGGGTGTCAACTCCGAACCGACGGAAACACGGAGACCACTTGAATGAGCGGTTATTACCTATGTAACTGCTAAATGCACTTCGGGAGTAGTAGTTCGAGGCGACGAAACAAGATGCAGCACAAACAGCCGCCCAAATCCCACCATGGAATGACAGCACGGGTCCAGACTGAGCAGGAATTCTCGTTGCAGAACTTCAGTGAAGCACTTATTTATCATCGGCTTAGGTACATCCCGAAACTCCACAGGCAGACTGAGGAAAGATTAGATGGGGAACTAGAAGCTCCTTTTGGTGATCCGGCACCATGTGGGATCTCACGTCTTCGTGGCGTCAGAGGTGATGAAATCAGTAGGTTAGATCGACTTGTTCACGAATTTGCTCTATTGCCCCTCCACATTACCACAGGGTTCGAGCGGCGTTCGCCCTTCCGAAAGAATTGAGGCTAAGCGCCAAGCGATTGATACGCCTTCAGGGGATACTTGTTATTCGTAGCGAGAAACTGGCACATTCGAAGAGATTCCATTCCGAAGTTGCGATGAACGCCGGGAAATTCCAAAGAGGGCTCATCGAGTATGGTCTTTTCCGTAGAAACTTATAGAAAAATATGAAGTGATGAACCGCAGAAATGAGGTTAGAAACGGTGGCAAACAGTGCCAAAGACTAAAAATAATGTGCTTTTGCCTGACTGGACATAGATCAGACCAAGATGATGCCAGGCCAGATGGAGCTCAAGCACAGCCGTCTGACCCAATGTGGAATCACCAATATCGGGCAGAACGAGGGCTGTCCGCTATCGATCGGTAGTCAATGAGCGTGTGCGCAGTGTTGGACATCGACGATCGATCGGGGCGGGGCTTCCGGCCAACTACCGTATGCCGTCACCAGCCATCGATCTACTGCGATTGGAGACTGCTCCGCACACCTCTACTGCTGTAGACGCCATTGGAACACCGTAATCGAAAGGCGGAAGCAGAGCTGTACAGTCTGAGGGTACAGGTCTACCCATAGGGAGCTTATTCCACGAATGTGAAAACATTCACCTTCCTATTATGAACACCTTATCAATCACAGGCTACTGATGGAAGATTGATGAGTTCAAACTGACAAGCACAATAAGAACTTCTCATCAATGGCTATGGATGACCTCCGAGCCGCCGTCCACCGCGCATTCACAGCTAAGCTTCTTTCATGAAGGAAATGCCAAAAGATTCACGAATTTCCAAATTTTTGCCATTGCGTAGGGCCGCATAAGGATATAGTAACTATGTCCTGAACAGGTCTCTTAACTTAAACCAATCTCCATCTCGGGTCGCAGTGGAGCTCTTGACCCTAGGAGTACAGTGAGATTTTATTGAAAATAGCACAAAACCGTAAAAATTTGAAGAGATATTCGTCGAAAATATATCCTTGTGTTAAGCAGTTATCGAAATTTATCCTTTATCTGGGCATCCCAGTGTATCGCAAACGCCGGCTCTTCAGGCTGAGCTCAGCCCTTTTAGGACGTTATGCTCGGACTCAATATCGCGAATTCAACGATACATTCATACCTCTCGAAAAAAGACTATCATGCTATGCATGGCTCCTCCAGAAACTTCCTTTTCTTCTGACACCACCACAGTTGTTGTCCACCACAGAAACAACACGTGCTAGATATAAACAACGCACGAAGAATCAAAAGGAACTCCTGATTGTTCTCGCTACAGCGTTCAACACCAGGTGGAGAGGGATACCATTCCTTCCTAATCAGAAAGAATGAGGTTGGCAAAACAGAGAGCTACCGAAGGAGCCGAGCAAAAACAAGACGCCAAAAAAGTTCCATAGAGTAAATCCTTTCGAGCTCAGGGATCTTCATCGGTGGTAATGTGTTCTTTGAGGTGAGCTGGACTTCTCGCACTTATTCAACCTATCGACTATGAGCCGCTCTTTTTCAAAGAGATCCTGAATTCGCTCTGGAAGTGCATCCTCAGCAATCGATTACAAGCGTCGGTCTAGCCAATCCATGCTTGAAAGGGTTCTCCTCTGAAAGCGGAGCAGCGCGTAGCACAGCGCTCAGGAAAATCGAACAGAGCCGACGAAGTTCGGCAATTTCAGCGACTCACTGACACCACACGCGGGCCAGCAATTACACAACCTTTTCAATAAAAGCACAGAATTCTGACAAGTACTCATCTACAGCCGATCGCTGCATTTCACTATACCATTTTCACTCACAAAAACCTCGTCGTGGACAGCAACTGATCTGAGAAACGATAGCAATCATTCGATGGAGGGCCTAAAAGGGGCTAATGTTGTCGTCTAACGACTTGTTGACACCGCTGGCGAGCTGCTCCCGATCACTACTACCACTGTGAATATCGTGCATCTTCCCAGCCGATTTGGTGCTGATTATGGAGGTACACAAGCAAACTGGCACATTTCCAAGTATGGAAATGTATTACATCAAACATCTATTCCGCAGAGGTGAATTGACGGAAGGGGAGATCAGGCGAATGAATCATCTCATCACTTCGGAATGTCATCTAATACTATAGTAATGGAGATGAATCTTTGAAGGCACCACGAGAAGGGAGAGCTCGATCTTCTTTTGCAATGAACAGAATTTCCTCACCTGGGAGATTCGTGAGTTGAGAGCAGATTTCGATTAGCGCCGCTTCAGTCGCTTTTCCTCTGACAGTCAGCTGATCGACTTCCTTTTGGAACGCTTTTATCAATGGCAGAGCAACTCTTCGAGTTTCCTGGAATCGATGCAAATTCTTCAGAGGTATCAGATCCTTTTCTGAAGAAAATCATTACGGAGAACACTATTAGGGAGTAGAAATTACTCTATTCACTGTGATAACTATCTTCTGAAAAAAAAATCATATAGCCAATGGCAAATTTTCGCCATAAGCTTTGCTTTGATCCCAGATTCTCGCCCGTGTTTCAAAAAACATTCGGGATTTAGCAAGTTAACAGAAATTGCAATGAACAGCAAAGACCTAAAAAAACGATTAACCAGTGGAGTAGGTGGCGACTGTACGTCGACAAGAAACTTCTCGATTCTTCAATTCAATTCCATAACGCTTATTTTCCAAAGGGACTCTTTTGGGGACCTCATTTCCTACATCTCTCGGTATTTCCCAGATAATTGTTAAGCCTCAGTATGACAATCGATCAAGCCTAGTCTGCGACTCGAACGCCAGCGTCATCTGAATAGCTCCGAGTGCCGACTATTGATCTGACGTCTAAAGTCCTGTTCTAAATGGACTAGTACGATCCTAAAAGCTTCAAAACAGAAGCGGGACAACGTTCTCTTGGGATCCCTCGAAATTATAAAGGCAGGAAGAGAAGCACCACAGTCGGATAAACCTAACCATCTTATCCATTTCGAAGGGTTGATAAGTGTTCCTACGCAGAATTGGGACAAGAATTCCATAACACAAGTGCAAATAGGGCACGAATCTAGAAGGCAGGTCCTCGTTCAAAAATGAGGAGTTGCGCGGCTCAAACACTACAGGGGGGGGGACAGAAAAAGCCACTTTTCTTCCTTGACATTCGAGGCGTTATAAGTTACACTTTATTGAATTCTGATCGGACAATTATACCACCATTTTAAAGAGCATATTGAATAATATCACGATGCTCCGTCACAGCCTTCTGAAGGAGCGCCGTCGCGAGATTCTGCCACGTAACCGTGAGTGAGTAACTGGCTTTAGCGAGGTAGTTGATTTCTCGGCCACTGTAGACCCCCTTGCTGAGCTCCGCCCAAATCCGGTAATTGAAAGGGCTTAGGTCAGATGACGTAGTTCAATATTTCATCTCTTTCAGGGACTAAACGCCCTTCCGTTCTAAGTAGGCAAGAGTTTTTCCAACATCCTTCGGTTCCATGGGGTGGCACCCAATGCTGTAGCAGTACAAGGTTTCCAAGAAGGTACGGGCGACGACATGTGGGGGAATATTTTCTCGAGTTGCTAACTGCCAGCGCTCACCTTCAGCCCGGGTCTACAAAGAAAATATCGGTCTTCCCATCCCAGGCACTTCGGTTCGTACCATCAACTCGCACCTCGGCGACTACGGTGAAGATGATGTCCTAGACCGTAGCGACGTTGTCGGAGCTGCTCGATGTTGGAGGTCTTCCAGATCGAAAGTACTGGTCTCCAGGTAGCTATCCATGGGTGACTCCATATTAGAAGTTTCGCAGCTGTTTGGATGTGACATGAGTTCCGAAGGTCTTCTCCAGCCAGATTGCGACTGGAGATGACTTCATATTTTGGTCACGTGATGATGGGCGAGAGCCAGCTCATGCTTATCGAGGAACATCTTGGGTATTTTCCCCTTGGTACTCGTATCCACGTCCTCTGTATGGGCTGCGAAAACTTTGCTGATATGTGACTTGGCCAAAGTGACTTTTTTTGGGCCCCCTGTAATTAAAAAGTAGTAAGTGATCAAATAGTGAAGAAAAAACAAAAAATAACTGCCGGAATGCCCATCTAGAACCGTTGCTGAACTGCAAATGCACGTGCATAAGGTGAAGGAAGGGCGTATTCGGACGTGTTCTCAATTCTTTGTACCAGATTTTTCTCCTTATTACTTCACTACCACTATTCGAAATGGAGACACTTAGCAGCGGATTAACCAGACCACCTGGATACCTTTAAAAATGAAAGCAAGGCGTCTCCGTGGCAGGGGGCGGAGCCGTTTTTGCGTCGCGAGCGATCATTTTTATCACGCATTTTTGAGCTGCGAAATTAGTACATCCCCACCCTTGCAGGCGGGACCACTTGTCCCAAAAGATGTGCCTGAACGTTAGTAACGGCGCGCATGCCATCAAACCAAACTCACTGAAAACTGTATTCAATGGAATTCAAGTTCATCACTATCTTGCTGGCAAAAAGCATGGGACTTCCATCGTCTGATTTTTAATGTGATGCGAATTTTTCGGATAATTTGAATTTGGGACGATTTCAAATAAGCACGCCCTGTTTTGAAATTAAGCGAAATCTACTGCTTCAGCGGCTTCAAGTAACGATGAGAGAAAGGGAAATTTCCTTCTTCTTCTCCCTAGCGTTAGTCCCGCGCCGACGCAGGGTCGCGCTGTTCTTGTTAACGTCGCCATTTGTTCCGATCCACTGTATCTTCTGCCGTGGCTTTCATTTCAGTGAGGTCCTTCTTGATGACGTCCCTCCATCTTTTCTTTGGGGCTCCTCGTGGCAGCTTGCCCTCCACTTCGAATTCCAAGGCTTTTCTTATTGGGTGGCCTTCAGGCCTTCTCAACACGTGCCCATACCATCGCAGTCGCTGCTCTCGTGCCTTCAGCTGGACCCTAGCGATCTGTGTGACCGCCCCGACGTCCTCGTTTCTGACCCTGTCGAGTCGTGTCCAACCACACGCCCATCTCAGCATCCTCATTTCAGCTGAATAGAGCTGCCTTTCATGGTTCTTGCAGATGGGCCAGCACTCACTACCGTAGAGCATTGTAGGCCTTACCACCGCCCGGTCCACCTTGCCCTTGAGTGTTCTCGAGCACCGCCGGTCGCACAGGATTCCAGTGGACCGAGGCAGGCGGTCGAATGCCTTCTCAAGGTCCAGGAAGGCTAGGTAGCAGGGTCGCCGCTTCTCTCGGTTCTCCATCAGCTGTCTGGCGATGAAGATGGCGTCAGTGGTGGACCTTTCGGGCACGAAGCCGAACTGTTCCTTCGAGATAGGGACAAGTTCTCTCAGCCTAGTGTTGACCAGGCGCTCGTACAGCTTCATGGTATGGGGAATCAGCTTGATGCCGCGGTAGTTGGAGCACTCCGTCGCGTCCCCTTTCTGTTTGAAGATGGGAACGATTGTGCTGCTCCTCCACGCGTCGGGCATCCTTCCTTCAGCCGTAACATTGTTTAGGAAGTCTGTTAGCCGAATCACACGAAGCTCTCTCAGAGCCTTCCATTCCTCTATCGGTACTCTGCCTGGACCCACTGCTTTCCCAACTTCCATTCTCCCTGCTCCCTGCGGTTCTTCCTGTGCCCAGGGAGTGATGAGTCCTGCCGTTGCTTCTATCTGTGGGCTATCCTTGCGGGAGAATTCTTCGTTCAGTAGTCCCTTGAAGTACTCTTTCCATCTCTTTCTGACTTCGGCTGGTTTCCTGAGAATGGCCCCGTTGATGCTCTTCACAGTTCTTACGACCCTGATGTCCTGAGCCGCGCGATGTCGAGCTTTAGCCAGGCGGAAGACAAACTTGTCCCCCTCTCGGCCCTCCAGCTTCTCGTACAGGGCGTCCATTTCCGTATTCTTGGCCTTAGTAAGGTCGCCTTAGCGAGTCCCTTGCAGCTCTTGCAGGCAGTGTAGTCTTCGGGGCTCCGTGTCTTTTGCCAGAGTTTGTATGCTTTCTTCTTCTGCTTGACGATCCTCTGGACTTCCTCGTTCCAGAACCAGGTTGCCTTGTCTCCTCGGACACCGCCTCGCGTCTCTCCCAGGACTTCTTTTGCGCACTGTAGGATGTCCTCTGCTGCGTGGCTCCAGGTGTCCTGGACTGGCCCATGTGGGTCCGGCAGCCCAGCCTCCAGTATTCTTCGGCCGAGGCTATCCGTTTCTGCGTTCCGCATTTTCCGCCAGCGAATACTTCGCTCTGTTTTCACCCCCCTCTTCTTGGGGAGGTCTATCGCGATATCTGCCAGGAGAGGTCTGCGCTGAGGACCCCGGTCTTCCCCAGGCAGTACCTTGACGTCCTTGACAGTTTTGAGAGACGACCTTCTCACCAGGACGTGGTCGATTTCCGTTTGTCTCCCTCCACTGCTGTAGGTTACCTTCTGAGTCCTCCTTTTCGCGAAGAAGGTGCTACAGATTGCTAAGCCGTAGGCTGTGGCAAGGTCAAGGATCCGTTCTCCTTCAGCATTTCTCGCTCCTATTCCTTAACCACCGTGCACCCTTTCTAGGCCTCTTCTGTCATTTCCCACGTGGCCATTCAGATCCCCAGCTATGGTGAGGTAATCGTCTTCTGGAAGCGATCTTATGGCCTCGTCCAGGATAAGGTAGAACTCATCCTTTCCGCTTAGGAGCAGCCGGATTGTGGTGCGTACGCGGTCAGTACTGTCCAGTACCCATCCACCGTGTCCATTCTCACTCCCATGATCCGGTCACTGATTCTGTTCACGGAAGAGACGCAGTCTTTCAGGGATTCCTGAACACCGCTCCGGCCTACCGCTATGGCCACGCCGTTCCGTTTGGTGTCTGCTCCATTGTAAGAAGACGTCGAACCTCCCGACTAGCGCGCCTTTGCACTTTCCATCGCGTTTCTGAAGCATAGGACTTGGATGTTTCTGCGCCTTATGAGGTCCTCGCGAGACTTCCCGTAAGCGACCCCACGTTCAAGGTCCCTATTCGAACTAGCTTCTTTGACCGAGGTCGTTCACGCCCTCCGGTAGCCCTCGCATACTGACCACAGAACTCGGCGAGGGTTTGCTGCGCCGCATTTCCGGGTGACGTCCTAGCATTAACACTGATACTTTTGCGACTTGTCATGATTGTTGTGACGGGTTTCTCCATCAGCCGGCCTGTCAACCTGGGCCTGACGCTGGTAACGTCTCCATTTTTGCAATTTTTGCAAGGCATGGTTTGTGCCTCGGCAGGGATTGTACTTGTGACCTACCTCAGCGTGGTTGCGACACACCGGCCGCCTTTCTTAACCACTCGGCTATCCCTTCCTCGAGAGAAAGGGAAATTTTGAATGGATGAAATTACATGGAAATGGCATCCCATAACTCACAAGAAATCCATTCACGAAAAAGGATCAGAAGTACAAATTCTCCGAAAAAATCTCGGTATCATGGGAAATGATCCGAAGGAACATGATCATGTAAATAAGCCTATAAGGAAGCGAGCGCTCTATTCCAGTGGGTAAAGAGGCGAACTAAAGGAATTTGAAACAAGCCAACGAACGGCACCTGCACTTTCAACTTGTTTTCGATCCCCCCCCCCGAAGAGGGTCCACTTACGACCCCCCCCTGCTCTGACTGACAACCAGATGCATGTTCACACGAAATGGCTCCTCAAATGAATCTGGACTTTCGAAAGGCTGACTATGCTCTTAAATCCAGGCAATAAGAGGCTGTTTCAGCCTCATGCAATATGAGGCTGAACAACAGCCTCGCATTACCTACAATTTGTCTTAGAATTCAGAATGAAACTCGCCGTTGACATGCAACTTGTAAAAAGGAACACAATCGAAACAGCGACTAATGGTGATAGGCTGAATTGGTGAAAAAAAATAGCCCCAAGGTCAGAATGTCAAGCCCCAGATGTGCATTCAATGAATGGTGACGGGGAACTCACGAAAACATACACGACACAACAAAGCAGAACATAAAAAACACAAAAAAAATGCGGAACAAAACGAAAAAAATGGATAACCAGGCGGCAGTATATCGTTCTATATTCGGCTATTATCGATCGCGATGTTGCGACCGCCTTCATTGGAAAAACGTCATTGGAGCGCGGTTGCTGGACCTGCCAACGTCCTGCGGCCTTTTCGCGGGGTTATATCTCTTTGACGGCCGCGGCTTTTGATAAATGGTTAGTAGCATGCAAAGGCAATGTTCCTACTGTTGCGTCTTCTACCTAGTTGCAACATGAATAATTCCACTTCGTGAAACACTCCGGATGGGTTTCGGATCGTCTAGGGGTATATCGCAAGCGCATTTTTATGCTTACACGAAGATTACTTATTTCGAACGCAATTTCACCACAACCAAAACCGTCTTCAGAGCGCCCCATCTTTTCTCTTTCCAACAAGCTTTATAATTTTCTTGAAGACCCGCTAGATCAGATTTTTTAGACGGGTTACCAAAAAGCTACCCTCTGAGCTACTCAAAAGTCCGATTCCGTGCGTGCCATTGTGAGGATACACCTTCGAAAACTTCAGTGTGCCTCCAAAACACATATTTCCTTCAAATGAGTGGAAGAGGAGCTCGGCTATCACTGATCGATTTAGTCCGAGTGTGCGCCGTGCATTACGCTTCTACAGAGATGGTGGAAAGGTGTAAATTCTAATTTCATGTGCTTTTATCCATGCAAGCAGATTTTTGTTTAGGGTTTGAAAAGGACAAAACGCACGAATCTGTTCGAGACATATTATTTAGTAATCTACGTACTTACGAGTTCATGCTATTAATTGGTATTTACTTATTTATTCTTGCTATTCTTGCTATACTGCTGACGATTATTTTGTAGTCCTATTTACATCGGGTCTTCTGCAGCTTTCCATCCGTTCCATCGAACTTAGCAATGACACTTTTTTACTGGTTGATGCTCAGCGAGCCTACTTTTGCGATACTACCCACGTCCCCCGCGGCCAAGTACGATCCCCTCCCTGGGGATTTTGCATGAAAAAAGGACTGTTAAACAGAGGAATTAATCTGTAAAGAATACACCCATAATAATTCTCATTTTTCTAACATCTTGGCTTCCATCTGCGGGTCTGATCCCAGATCGGCTACCACCCAAGTCAACCGAGTCATCCATCCCTCGGTGGCGAGTTAACCGGTACCATCATCAGTCATCAGTCATCCGAGTCATCTAAAGAACAGGTACTTCCATATGAGCTGCCCCGCACAAACAACCCCATGGGCCATCTCGTGCTTAAAAGCCACCACAAACCTGAATACAAGTAGAATGTGGGTGCCGCATCCTAAATAGTGATTCTTCAACCGCTGGAGCCTTATCCTCCAAGCTTTTCTATGCAGCAATGTTTCGCACTGTCACAGAACTTAGGTCAGGTGTTCTTTAGCATGCCAAGGACATGGTGGGCGGTCATAAATAAGCCTCACTTGGCTTACCAAAACAAGGTCAGACTTTGTTTTCATGCACATGACATGATTCTAAATCATCGATGCAATACCACTACAACTTCTTTATTCTGGACCATACTGAACTTCGAAAAAAGTCCTTCAACCTTCTCACAGAAAAGATGGTTGAGATTGCAGAAGGAATAACTGGAAGGAGACCACAGGTTGGTTTGTTCCAGCGGCAAATCGCTCGGCAATAAGAATGTTGCCCATGTGAGCATTCTTCTTCAACTGGTGCTTGAGAACAGAACGAAAAAGACGTAGCGATTTGTACGGCATTTCAGAGCCCCATCAGAATCTTGGAGTTATGCGTTGTAAATCTTGCACATCTGGACACAGTAAGCTGAGTTCGATCTTTGCCAATAGACTGTACTAGCGCCACTTGACGTACAGTGCTCGCACCACCCCGAATGATCTCTCCAGCTTATTAGCTTATCACTCACAAGGAAGGTCGTTCGGGGCGTAGTGCGCTTTTCGAAAACGGTTTTCTGCATATTGTAGGGGCTCATGCAAGGGCCTGAAAAGTGTGCTTCATTTTCGCTGCGCGCTTCCACGAAAGGTAAAAAACGTGAAAAGAAATCTTTGGAATCCGCTTCGCTCTGGGCCTCTACACGGCGTAGCTCACTTGCAACTTTGACTAGTTGCTGACTGGGGGGTTAAAGGGGCTATTTGAATCGAAGCGAAAAATCGCCGAAAGTGAGCTTCCAACTAGGGTCATGTGCTCAAGGGTGAACGGCTTCCTGCAATGTCATCAACGATTAGAGCTCCACGCCAGAGTCGGGTATCGGATGGCCTAGCGGATTGGAGGTTTCGCAATCGGACAGTGAGGGTCGAGTTGATGGATCGGCTCCCCTTGCGTCGCGGCTTTTTGCATTTTTCAGGTTTCGCTGTTCTCGCTTCCATTTGTGTCTGCGCATGAATATAACTCGGATATTTGCCATTTATGGGCACATTCCGAGTAGCTGTACCTCATGAGTCAATGCTATTTCAACTATTTCGATTTTCACGCACCAACGAACAGGATTACTACTGAACGTTGATCTCCATAGGCTACACAGCGTATCTGATCGCGAATATAGTAACTTGCGTGGTGTCAATTATAACCAATTCGGGGCCACATCTTCTTTCCACTGAATTCGTTATATACACCAATATAGGGAACGTTCACCGCTATTCTGTCGCCAAATTGCGTGAATGCCAAGAATAAGTGTTATATTTGTGATCAGGGCCACTGATTACCACTAAAAACAAATTTTCGGTCAAAACAATTGTTTTGACCTTCTTGGGTTTGCTTATTGGGTTTTCCGGGGTCCGTAGCGTCCGTAGCGTCAACGATACGCATCGCTGTTACGGAGATGTGAGACTCCGCTCACACTGCCGACCAAATGGTCGGTCATCTGCAACCCGAAAAAGTCAAAAAAATTTCTTCGCTTAAAACTTGCTCCTAGGGGTAATCGACAGTCCTGATTACGATTCTAGACTTTATTTTCAGTTCCAGTGCCATCTGGAACCGGCATAGCGCCGAAGAGCTGAGTCTGTGCATACAAACGAATTCGAACGAAAAAGCAGTTTTGCTCCATAAAAGTAGGATTGTTCAGTTCATCGTGAATGTTTTTGTTAGGACCAATTATTTAGACATACATGGATCCAAAAAATGAAAAACTGTAGGAAAGCAAAATTTTGTCCTCGGTGGGATCCGAACCATCGACCTATTTTCTACGTTTTTTTTATTCGTAGAAGCGCGCAGCGAAAATGCACCTCAGTTTTGAGGTCCTCGTAGGTGCCCCTACAATATGCACAAGACCATTTTGAAAAAGCTCACCACGCCTTGAACGACCTCCCTTGTTAGTGAAGCGATGTTGCTTCTACAGGGGAGCTCAGAACAGGGCAGGAAATTGGAGACGTTTTTGACGTTGTTCGCAATGATGCTGAACCCCTATACACCTGTCGCTGAAGGCTTATCTGAATGTTCTTATACTTTCGTGACCCTCCACAGTGTTACAGAGCCGGGGTACAGCATCGTAATGTGTGAAATGGTGGTGACAATACGATCCCCCCTCCCCAAAGGAGCGTTCCGGTACGACCCACCCCCTCTTCAACACTTACCTACTATTTTCCTATATTGTCTAGTTTTCACCCAAAAATCGTCGAGCTGGGGCGTGTAGTGCACTTGAAACAGGGAAAATTACGAAAACTCAACAATCGGGAAAAGTTTTCCCAACGCGGCAAATTCCTCTCAAGGCCACATGCAGGCAACACCTTACCTCTCTAAGCGCCGTCCAGGATTTTTTCATATTGAAGCGAAACTTGAACATGAAACAGCAAAATCAAAAGGAACACGGATGTTTACGAAATGGCCCGGCATATCTGCTTCTGTACATTGAACTCGCACCGAAATTCGCATCAACATTTCCGTCGGAAGGAGAACCGTAACCTACCAGAACAGCAATTTTCCACTTCAAAGCATTATGTTCGAGCAACGATGTCCCCACTACAAGTATCCTAAGGCGACCCACGGAAAGGTTTCATCGATTTAGGTGGAAAGATGGTGTCGAAAAACAAGTCATATTCTATCTGTTCAATACTTCTATATCCATAGATTCTGCAGGTATCATGAGAAAGATGTGAAGATGAAGATGGGACATGTACAAAATAACAAAGCGGAACAAAAAAAAACACAAAACTGCGAGAGTAAATGAAAAAATGACCCATGAGGCGGCAGGAAAACAAGTGCCGACGAGGTCGCTCCAACGACGTTTTCCATTCAAAACGGGACCGCTCTCATTGGAAAAACGTAATGGGGCGCAGTTGTTGACCCAGGCAACGTCCTGAGGTCTTTTCGGGCGGTTATAGCTTGGTTACAAATCCCTGCAGCCTCATCGTGGCGTGGGGGTGAACGGTTTTGGACTGTTCCAAAAACGTACCAATGCGGAGGGTGCCACGTCAGAGCCTGGCGAGCTACGCGTGGTTAAATTTCTTCTCGCTGAAAACAGTAACAACTATGGGCCTCATTCCCCTGAAGCTGAGGGAACCACCGACAGGGCGACTGGGACCGCTCGGACGAGGCTGCTAAAATCACAGGGCCAACGGAGATTTAAGTTGCCCAGGACTAGGATGACGATCTGTACTTTCAACGCACGGACGCTTGCATCGGAAGCTCACATCGAAGATCTGAGGCTGCAAGCCAGGAAGATCAAGTACGCTTTATATTTTTCCCGGAGACCCGCTAGTTCAAGAGATATTTTAGATGGCTTACCCTCTGAACCCTCTGAGCCACTCAGAAGTTCCTTCTGTGCCATTGTGAGGATACACCTTCGGAAACTTCAATGTGCCTTCAAGACACATATTCTCGTTTGAATGAATGAAATAAGAACTTGGTTATCACCGATTGATTTGGTCCTAGTGTGCGCCGCGCATTACGCTTCTACGCAGAGATGGTGGGAAGGTGTAACTTCCGGTTTTAGGTGAAGTTTGTAAATGCAAGCAGACGTTTGTTCAGGGTTTGGAAAGGACAATACGAACGAGGGCAATACGAATGTTTGAGATGTGTTCAGTTATTTACGTACTTACAAGTTCATGCTAACAATTGATATTGCCAATCAATTTTTTTTATTCTGTAGTCTTCCTTACATCATGACCTGCAGCTTTCCGTCCGCTCCACCAAACTTAGCAGTGGCACTTTTGTGCTGTTTCATGCTCACCGATCCTCCCCACGTCCCCTGTGGCCAAGTACGACCGAACGTAGAGGACGTAGAGGAAACTCGCGTAAAGGAACTTCCTAGTTATGATCAGAGGCATGCAGTCGACCAAAATCGGCGAAGGAACTGTTAGTGTACGTGTACTCCGTTTTGTTGATGTTCAGCTGGAGCCTCCTATGCGGCGAGTTCTTTCTTTCATCTATTTGGAGACAGCCTCGGACTAGCTGACTCGTCAACTCATATGGGGAACCCTTCGACTTCGGGGAGTACCAGAAGCGCTTATGAAAACCGTTCAACTGACGTACCGCCACTCTACAACATGTATTCGGAAGCCTGTAGGGGACACTATACGGTTTCCCGTTACCGCTAGCGTACGCCTTGGATCGGCTCTTACGCCACAGTTGCTTATTCATCCAAAAGACTATGCGAGCCGCCTTCCACGCTACTATATGCTGACGTGTTGCTGATGAGCGACCCAAGAAGAAGTGGCGCGCCATTTGAATGAAGAAGTGAAACTAAAATCTACAAAATGTAGATTTCCTCCTGATACAGACAGAATCTTCTTTTTTTATTTAACAGAATGACCTGTTTCAAATACGGAAAAGAGAAAGTTTAAGAAGGTACTCTAAATCGGATAGCTAGGAATTTCCTGCTGCTCCAAAATTACTAAAACCACCTTCCCTATGAGCAATATGAACTAGGCAGGAAACAAGTTCTCATGGGTGTACTACGAATAAGGATTCATGGATATTTCTTCGATGGACCTTGTCTACTTGAAGGATGAGCTCTGAAGGGGCTCAAGGGGGTTTTCGCTTTCATTAACTCCATTTTGCTGCATTGATTGCGGAACGAACGTCAGTGACGCTTCGCGGAGATTATAAAACAATACATCCAGTTCACCCCTCCCACCATCAAAAAGATAACTTAAAGACAGCCCCCGCGCTCGAGTAGTGCATGGTCGTCGTTCCTTGTGCAAGTAGAACAGCCCCCAAGCTAAAGACTGTCCCACTCTATTCGACTCCACAGTGAGCGGAGAGCTAGCTACAGCCGCTCAAAATTCTAGTTCTAACGCCTGCTCAGTTGGACAGCCTTACTTGCCAGATGCCCTCTGACAAGGCCACTCAGTTGTTCTTACTTGGGGCAGCGGGCTTTAATCGGAATTGCATCTCCTTTTTGCTGACCGCACTCGTACCCCTGGATTATTCTGCTCTCCTTCATTACAGTTTACTCACTGGGGGCATATAAATTCAATTCAACCCATTTCGCGAGGTGACGCGTAAAAATCACTAGTGACCCAATTTTCGTGGTGCAAAAGCTCGACGCACTTCCGTGCACTAAAATGTGCGCTACGGTATCCCAAAATTCGGACACCAAGTTCTTAAAACTTCTTTTTCCTTCAAAGAGTTTTTCCTCTGCGTTTTTATTGTTTTTTCGTATACTTTTTTTTACACTGGATGATATCAACTTTTGCAAGATGTGATAGAGAGATTTGTGAGCTAGGGGTTGCACAGAGACCGCAGGGAGGTGTGACTATGAGGGAGCGATTTTGTTTATATTGTTCTGGAGGACGCTTCTTGCTTT